TAGTGTGACTGACTAGACTGAAAACATGAATTCTTAAATGCATATTGGCTTAATTTATGAAATATCATTTCTCAAATTTTTTGTTATGGGTTTTTTTTAAGTATTGAATTTGAATTGGGCTATGGATTATCCCCAAGTTTTATCACATATAATAATCTGAATACATTGTGTCTGAAAACATCAATTTGCTTTTGATTTATAATCTTGACTGACTAGACTGAAAACATGAATTCTTAAATGCATATTGGCTTAATTTATGAAATATCATTTCTCAAATTTTTTGTTATGGGTTTTTTTTAAGTATTGAATTTGAATTGGGCTATGGATTATCCCCAAGTTTTATCACATATAATAATCTGAATACATTGTGTCTGAAAACATCAATTTGCTTTTGATTTATAATCTTCCAGTAATCAAAATTTGATTCTGACTCTCAGAATGTATCAGCTGCTTGAGCTCTTCCCTGCTCGCAACATCCTGGTTTCCTTTGGATGTCATCTTCAATTTGGAATGGCAAAAAGGGGATTAATAAGGAAAAGCTGTAATGAGGTCCAAAAAGGCTTAATTATAACTTCACTCTGAGGGAACCTGAAATTTGCCCTATCCACAAAAATTGGTCTTGGGAACATGAATAATTTCAAGAACCCCTCTAGTATGCATTGATTATCTGCCATACACACACAGCAGTGATGATGATCAGATCCTTAACTCAATTAATTTTTGTTTTTCTTCATTTAAATCATTGCTCTGGGGTGGAGCTGGGGATGAGGGTTTCAGTATGCAGGCTGCCCTGGGGAGGGTGAACTACCCCAGCCCCCCCTCTGACTGCAGCAGTTTGGGGCCAGATTAGAAGTTTATCTCCATGGCCATTGCAGCTCCAGCAGGCATATTTTGGGAAAGGGGAGCTTCAGCCCCCTCTCCAAGGGTACCTGGAGAGTAAGAGGCACTGAGGTGGGGTAGTTCTGGGGGAAAGGTACACCTGCCTAGTGAGTGTTTCTTTTCTGAATGGTTTTCTGAGACACAATACCATTTCAGGCACATCCAACAATGCCACATACCACAGCACAGTGCTGCCTAGGGCACCACGAAGTTGAGGCAGTTTGGTGCCCCAAATTTTGTGGTCCTCTAGGGAGCTGTGTATTTTGCGTATTTGTGGGGACAGCCTTGAAGAAACAATGTGATTGCTTATATGTTGACCTTTTGCATTCCTTGATTTTTTTTAATTGATTTAACTACAGAATTTTGATATTATATTAGCCTTGTCTTGCTGCAGTTACAAAAGAAAAAATTGCCAGCAGAAATCCAAAATAATATTAACATTAAAATTGTTAGTCTCTGCTGGTCGTACTTCATTAAGATGACCGAGGTGAGAATGTGGCAACTTCCCAGTTTGCAGGCTGTTGTTTTTGACAGGAGATTGGTTTCTTTGTCATGTCATGGCATGGCTATATTTTCATAATAAGACGACCAAATTTTTTAATAAAAATAGCTTTGTTGAAAGCAGCAAAAATTGTGACAGGATTCTAAAACTGCTGGGTGCCCTTGTTTGTTTTGGGCTTTTTTTCTCTACTTATTAACCCTCAGAAAAGGAGAAAATAATCTTAAAGAAAATGAGCACATTTATCCAGTATTGCTCCAGTCCTTAACTCAGTTAATTTTAGTTTTCCTTCATTTAAATCGCTGTTCTGGGATGGGGATGGGGAGGAGGGGGGTCAGTATGTAGGCTGCCATGGAGAGAGAGGACTATGGGGAGGAGGGGGTCAGTATGTAGGCTGCCAGGGAGAGAGAGGACTATTCTATCCCTCTCTCACCACAGTAGCTTGGGGCCAGGTGAGACGCTCCTCTCCATGACTTCTGCAGCTCTGCAGACATAGCCAGGGGAGGGGTGCATGTTCCCCGGCTTGAGCAGGTTCATCTGCTCCCTACACTCCTTAGCCAGAGTGAGGAATGCAGCAAACTGTGCACTTCCCCTCAGTCCCTGATGAAGGGGAACAGTCAGAAATGTTCCTGTATGAATTGGGAGGTCAGAGAGCTTCAGCCCTCCTTTTCCTAAAGAATGCCTGGGGGCAGGAGGCTCAGGGCTAGGGCAGTCCTGGACAGTGGAGCGGAGGAGGCACATCCCCAGCCAGGCTCTTTCACCTGTCTGGAGAATCTGTCTCTCTTTGGTGTATGGTTTTATGAGAAGCAGTCCCATTCTGGGCACATCCCATTTTCCTGACACAGCAAAACCCTTATGTTTCTTTTAGTTTTATGAGAGGAAGCTATATATTGAACTTGGTGGAGCTAGCTCTTACCATTTATGAGGTGCTCTTGAACAGACACACACACTCTCTAAAATATATAGTAGATTTGGCTTTGTGTTTTAACACCTGTTTAGATGGAGAAATTGACTAGCTGTTTTTCCATTATAGCTGTGCTGATTAATTTGATAGCACAGTTAGGCTATGTCTTTACTAGTTCTTTTGTTGGTATAGCTTATGTTGCTCAGGGCGTGGGAGAAATAACCCGCTTCTCTGAGCAACATAAATAACCCCAACAAATAAGCCAGTGTGTATCGTGCTATGTTGGCAGGAGATACTTTCCCTCTGACATAGCTACCACTGCTTGTTGGAGGTGGTTTAATTATGTTAATGGGAGAGAGCTTTTCTGTTGGCATAGAGCAGCTAAACAAGCAATCATAGTCCACTACGTCGGTACAGTTGTTTAATGACAATGGTGGTTGTATGTCAATGCAACTTGTTTTGACAGACATCTAGTGTAGACAAGATGCTTGGAGATCTAGAAAAAATTACCCCAGCAAAAGCATTTTTTCTGGTATAAGCTGCATCAACACTAGGAGAGAACTTTGTTGGTTTAGAATACAGGTATACCTGTATATGGGGCCCTTGCTATAAGTTCAAGAAATGTTCAAAAAAATTTGGACTTATAGCAAAACAACTGAAAGGGGGGAATTTTTGCCCCACGGCTGACTTCTGTTTAAGCAAATTGGGAGGAGTGTTTTGCATGACTTATAACACACCAAATCCTACAAACATCAACTACTTTAGAGTGGAACAGATGTATACCAGGGTGACTTATTGCGGGGACCCCCTGTATTGGCAGTAGGGGTATATGCAATGGATGGAGCAAGCAGAAACAAACCCTATCATTGGGGACAAAGAACTTATCTGACCCCAGTGCTGTGGAAGCAGGGAAGATCAAGCAACAGGCTCCTGCTGGGGACCAGAGGAAGGGGAGAAAGATCAAGCTTCTTCAGGGGCTGGGTAGAGAGGAGGAGATGGTCTGAGGCAGGATAGAGGAAAGGAAAATGAAACTCTTCCTGGGATTGGGGAAAATGGGCAGCAGGCTCTTTCTAGGTCCAGGGGAGGAAAGAAGACAGTGAGGGGTTTGTGTTCCCACCAAAAGGTGTCAAATTTAAATTCCTGTGTATGCCCCTGATTAGCAAAGTATTGGTAGTGTAGACCTACCTAAGAATAGTTTATTTTGATTTAGCATAATCTAAATTAGTTCATGCTAAACCGTTTGAACCAAAAAAAGTGTCCACAAAGCCTTTTACACTGGACTGACGGCTTGTGTACATGAGGTTAATGCCTGTAAAACTATTCCAGAATAAGAATGCTCACATAATCAGGAAAAACTGTTCTATTTTAAGTTCAGTCCCTACCTGAATTCAAATTAACTTTCCTGTGTAGACAAACATTGTCATCTCGATATGCTGTCACACCTATAAATCCCAGATTAGACAAGTTGCCTAGCGCTTTATCAGTAAAATCTGTTTACTCCGTGTATACTCTTACAGACTTATAGTGGCACAGCTGTACCACTGTAAAAGCACTGGTATAACTGTTATGGCAACAGGAGATAGCTTAGTTAATTGAGCTGGTTTTATAATGTTGATGGGAGTGCTATGTCAGTGAGAGAGTGTGTGCTGCCGACATAGCTCTGTGCACATGAAAACTTTAGCTGGCATAAGCAGTGTTGCTTTGGAGAGGGTGTTTTTTACACATCTCTGCATGACACAAGTTTTGCTGAAGTAACTGCTACAGTAGGCATGGTCAAAAACTCTAAGTTGTATTTTTGAATATGTTAACCTAGTCATGTTCTGATTCTAAAGTATGATTTGTTTTGTCTTGACTACTGTGTGGAGGTGAACTGGAGGAGAGGAAGAAGTTGAGAGGTGAGGAATAATGGGAGAGGAGATGACGGCTATGGCTGCACTAGAGAGCTTATAGTCATGAGTGGTGGGTAAACAGGCAGTAAGGGAAGGCTAGCCCCCTCTCTGTCCACCTGACCCTTCCCCTCTTCTGCCCCCTGCTGGATCCCAGAGTACCCCCTATACTCCCTGCTTCTGGTCCCCAGGACATCTCCCTCTCCTCCAATCCCAACCCTGGGGCGCAGGGCAAGTGCTGCTGCCACAGCACCTCCAGCCCCAGAACCCAAAATGAATAGTGCCACAACAACCCCACAACTCCAGCCCCTGAGCACAAGGTAGGTGGCACTACTGCAACACTTCCGACTAGAGCACCAGGCAGGTCATCCAGCCCCAGTCTGCCCAGAGCCACAATAGAGCAGGAACTAGGAGCAGATCGTGGGAGCTTCAAGTTCTAGGGTAGACACTCTAAGCCAAGAGGCAGCCACTAATGAGAGGCAGTAGCTATGTCGATGGGAGAAGATCTCACCATCATAGCACTGTCCATAGTGGTACTTGGGTTGGTGTAACTTATGTCATTCAGGGGGATGGCTTATTCACTCTCCTGAGCAATGTAAGTTATACCTGTGATTCACAACTTATTTACCACTGTGCTCTACATCCAGTGCTACCTATATGGCTCTAAGGATGTCACATGGGTTGCAGCACTGTGTTGATTATGTTGCAGGCGGCCCACAGGCCAAAAATCATTGAGTTGTACTGACATAAGTGGTAGTGTAGACATATCTGAGTT